TGTCTTTTACTTGTTGTTTGAAAAAGGCTGCCCGGCCGAAACGTTACGTTGTGTTGTTTTGTGCACGTTTTCCTCTTTCCCATTTTGTTGAGCTTTTTAGTCAAATTTCTCTGGAATTCATTGTATTAGCTTGACTGCAGTCACCCCCATAGTTTTACGCACTCAAGGCTGGGTCCACCTGGGTGTCTAGTTCATTTTTTAAGTATGTCCACTGTTTATGAGTACTCTTTAGCATTTGTTACAAATACTATACGCGATTTACGTCTTACCTAGCCTCTTAAGCCTGTTGTAAAACTAACGTTGGTGTCCCCATTTACACAGGGTTACACACTAGCTAACTTCTGATTTTTCGACCTTAAGCCACGTTACCTAGGCACAAGATTAGAAGGGTTTTCGGCAACGCCGTTCATATCGCATGTTGTATATGTCAGCATGCCAGCGCCTTTAACACTAAAAAAATATCGAAAAAACTGGGTCTAACACGCCACCTCCCCCTCACCGAGTGCTTCAACCTATGTCATAGGTATTATTTTCTCAGTATAAGAACTTAATTTCAATACAACCCAGAGAGCGAACAACAGAGCGGCACATCCGTAACCTGCAGGAAAGTAGACCAGCCAAACAAACTTATGAATGCAACGTGGCCTACCTTGCTTGGGAAACCAACGTTAGTTTTACCTTTGTTGATAGTATTAACATAGCCAAAAGAACGTACAATAGTAATACCAGTAGTGAAATACTATCTGCACACGCATACTCTCAACAGCGAAGCAAGGAAACAGAAAATATCACGCGTTACTCCCTTCGGTGTCATCGTTTTCTGATAACGATATCTGCAATATCTGCGCTTTTCCTGAAGTTTTTGAGCAACGTTTCAACATCATGGCACCCATAAGTGCTTCGTTCTTCTTCTAAGTCAAGTCTGAATCCGAAGAAGCTCGGCACAGTGCACCGACTGCTAGCACCAGCGAGGATTTTTTTTAAACTTTGGGTAGATTTTTAACTCCAAATATCGCCCGGGCTACGCTTTTCGATTTTGAACTGCCAAAGGATTTTTGACTTGCGCAACAATGCACACGGTCGACCGATCGCACTACCCAGAGCCCAGAGGGAAATACTAGAAGTCCAAGTCCACGTGAATAAAGTCCCAGCCCTTACCGGGGATTGAACCTGGAACCTCTAGCACTCGAGGCGGACACCATGCCAGGAGACCACTCAGCTTCCTTTCTGAAAAAAACCCCTCATTAAATGCTTGTTAAGAAGGCAGTGGGTCTGCGAACGGTTTATCTGTCACTAAATTTAATACGTTTGCTTCAAAATCCATGACAGAGTTATCAAATACCACTATGAATTATGACACAAGCCACGAGAGTCGAAAGAAACCTCATTCACTTCAGCTGGTGAAATTATGGGGGTGACTGCAGTAAAGCTAATACAAGGAATTCTAGGGAAGTTTGACTAAAAAGCTTAACTAAATGGGGAAGCAGAAAACCATGCACAAAACAACACAAATAACGTTTTGGCCGGGCAGCCTTTGTCAAACATGAAGTAAACTAGACAAAGGTAACAACGAAGAGAGAGTTTAGAGATTTCTAAGGGGTGACGTGAGCAACGTTGCAACGTTTTCAAAAATGGAATGTGGACAAAATAAAATAAACGATATCTAAAAATAAAATATAGTCGTAAAAAATAAAAAGTAATCTTTTTAATACATAATATAATAGTGGGAATAAAATAAATACAAATGGTAATGATACATAAATGATACTGATAAGAGATAGAATAAAGTAATAATATGAAAGAAAAGAAAAGAAAATAATTAATATTTAAAATGTGATAAAAGTAAAACTGTTTAGATGAAGGTATCTTGGATATTGATACCACCTGGACTAACAACGCCTAGGCTGTGGATGAGGCGATTTTTCAAACCGAGGCGCGTAGCCAGAGCAAGATTTTAATGTTGTGACAGATATATCATTTTTACCTCCGTGGTCAGAGCTGTTAAAATGGAGAGGGGTTGGTTTCAGTGTTTTCTTGTCAATTTTGGAGCGGTGTTCCTGGAAACGATCAGCTAACTAATGCACGTTTCTTTGTTTCACTTCAGCTGGTAATATAATTGTGTCATGCTTTCTTTGTCTACAGAGTTTAGGCGTGTGGAGCTCCGATCACATACCAAGAGGAACTCGATTTGGTCCTTTAACTGGTGCAGTGGTAGAGCAGTGCCCAACAAATCCGGAGTTCAACCCCAGATACCACTGGAAGGTGAGTAGCTAAAGCTTTAAATCTTCTTCTTTTTGGCGTTCTTCTTCTTAAAGTCCATGCCCTGTGGCATTGGAAGTTCATGCCTATCCACAACCTTCTGTCTCGTATACTTCCAACCAAATCTGACACAAATGATCTTCTATGCCATGATGTCAGTCCGACCAGCATATGTCCTCTCAGTCTCCCCCTGCCTCTCCTCCTCTTGAAATTTCCTACCGTCACGATGTACTCCAGTTTTCTGTTGTCTTTTCACATGACCAAATTATGTAGATTGTCTCTTTCTGATGTGGGCAATCAGTTCACTTCGTGAGTCAGTTTCTTTCAAGACGTCTTTATTACTCTTTTTATTTGTCCAGGGTATTTTCATCATTCTTCTATAAAACCACATCTCCGCAGCTTCCAAATACGTTTTCACTAATTTACTAACTGTCCATGATTCACATCCGTATATCAATATATAATTTATTTAGCCTTTAAGAATTATCGTTCTCGTCCTAATTGACAAAGAAAAATTGCATTACATATTCATTTTATAAAATGCTGACTTTGCTTGAGCTATTCGACATTTAACCTCTCTAATACACCTTCAATTTGATGTTTTTGGGGTACCCAAGTACTAAAACACATCAACTTGCTTGAGGTTTGTCCAATTCACTTTAATGTTGCATTTTGGAGAGTCAGTTTTCATTTGAAATTACAAAGTGCAATAACAAATTACAAAGTGTAATTACTTGGCGTTCACCGGCTGTAAACTCTGGTGGAAACTTCTGGTTGTTGATCAACCTCTGGACTTTCGACTTGTTCCAGAACCTGAGTATTGTATGCACATCCGTTTTACAGATCTGACTTTTTTTTTTTGCTTACTGTTGGTCCTGGCCTCTCAGACAGATGCACTCTGACTTCGAAAGAGCTTAAATTATTAAAGTAAGTGAAGATAAAATGTGACAACACATATATTATGTATAACGTGATTACAGATTATAATTGACTTCTTTTTCTTTTTCTGCCCCACTATTTATGGTATGAAGCGTCACAGAGAGGAGTTAGAAGTGGTTGCTAGTCTAGCTTGTATTAACGTCATAAAGCGTTTCTGTAGTATCGCTTTTACTCCCTCCATCCGTTTTTTCTTGGTCGCCCTCTTGCCTTGTAGCCTGCTGCTTTTTCTGCAGTAAGCTCTTTAGCTGCTGTCTGATTTGGTTCCCTTCTGACCAAACCATTTGATTCCTTCATGTTCTATGAAATCATTCACCGGTATTGTGACTAACACTGTTCTTAGTTATTGTTCGGCAACTCTATCTCTTCTTGTTCTTCTCGCCGCATTGCTGATACATCTCATCTCATCTCATCTCATACTTTAATTATGTGTTTATAGTTTTCTAGGATTGCTCACGTCTGGCAGTGACAAAAACTGAAGTTTCCCCAAACGTATTGTTTCACAAATTAAAAAAAAAAACATGACACGGAGGAACACACACACACATACATACACGCTCAAAACAAGAGCACATGTCGAAAGGAACGAACGAATGAATTAGTACACTGCAGAACATTGGCATACATGTAAAGACTATACATATCTCAATACAAAATAAAAATACGCATTATTTTCCTAAATATGCTACCTATTTACTGCAAAGAGAGTCGCCGTGGCGTAGCGGCTAGACGCTCGCATGGATATCGGAAGGTCGTGAGTTAGCTTTCTGGCGGGACCGGACTTTTTTTCAAAAATGACATTGACTCCCAGGTCGACTCAGCCTTAGTGGGATTCGAGTGCAGTCCTGGGAAGTAAAGCCGGCCGGCGTGATGCAGACCACGTCACCCATCTTGTGCCGTGTGGTCTTTAAAAATTGAGGTCTAGCCCTAAAAAGGTAAAAAGTCGGGAGATGTGAACCAGCGTCATTGCACATTGTTATACACTAAAAGTGCTCTGCCACCAGTACGGACAGCTGATAAGAAACTGTCCGCCTGTGTCGCCGTCCGCACGAAATTCCGTAGCTACAGCGACGTTCCTCCATTTACCCCACAGTGTTGACTATGATACCCATTCCCTAGAGGCTGGGTAAATGTCGGGAACCGCCTGGTTTTGAACACCAGCCGGGAGATACAGCGAGTCGCAGCTGGATTTTAAAGCGAGTCTCCTATCGACTGCGCTAACGCGGCTGTTATGCCCTATACGCCTAAAGGTAGGGAAACAGGTCGTTTACTCTTACTTACTATTTACTACAAAGACGCCACTCGGTTTGGGTCTTGAACACATACAAAAAGAACGCTCGCGGCACGCTTACACCACTCATGCAGAAACTGCAAGGTGTGAAAGCTACATGGTAGCACTACTACGATTAGGATGCTTGCTGCACACGAAAACTCTTAACAACGAAGCGACGAGGACGAAAATATCACGTGATACCCTCTCCAGGGTAGTCGTTACGTGCTAACGTTTACATATCTGAATTTATCAAGCCTAGCCACTGCTAGTGAGAGAGATATTGGGGAGGGGGGCATTTTAACAAGGATTTACATTGAGGCTGAAGAAAAACGTTTAAAAAAATCTGCCCAGCTCGTGTTACCGTTACAGATAGCCTTCTGACTGACAGAAAGCATTACTAACCACTACACCACCGTCCATCATGCCGCCCCCCCCCCCCCCCCCCCGCTTGGTTGCTTCAGTTTTAAAGTTTCGTTATCCTGTACGATTTTTTCAATCTCACAACAAAGTTTACCATACCAATCAACAACAGGTATACAAAGATGGCGTCCTCGACCACGTGGTCAACACGGCCAACAAGGACCGGAGCAGCTGGCAGCACTACATGAACATGGCGCCGTCCACCGCCCAACAGAATGTTGTGGCCTGTCAGCACGGGGCCCACATTTACTTCTACACAGTCAGACCCATTGAGCCCAACACCGAACTCCTCTTTTCCTTCTCCCAGGAGTACTCCGACCGGGTCAAGTCTCTGGCAGCGGCTGTTGACATTGGTAAGTTACTTCGAAAATTTGTTTACAATGTTAAAGTTAAACTGCCGAGGCGGCGTCCGTGGATTTTTTTTTTTTTTTTTTAAGTATCCAGAAACCATGAGTTCTTAACCCTTTAGTTCAGTACTATGAAAATCGCAACCCTTCGGCCTTGATTCTATGATAGGTACCGTAAATCTGGGAGAAATGTGGCTTTTCTGCCTACCCCCAGGCGTGAACCCGGACCACAAGGAGTTCGTCACCCGGTTACCGCGCAGTCCGGCTTAGCCAACTGATTTAGAGAGCCAGGCGGTGGTCGTGGATTAAGCGTTGCGAGTCCGACTCGTAATTCCAACTTACCGCGATCGAAACTCACTGCTGGCTGCGTGGATTTTTATCGTTGTATGGCGCTTTGCAGGTCGACCCAGCCTAAAATGGGTACAATGATGTTTGTCCTGGGAAAGTAAAAACGGCCAGCGCAATGCTGACCACATTACCCGTTTAGTGCCGATGGGTGCTCTTCCCATATTCCCAATGCGCCTAAAGGCCTGAAAGGGGATCTTTACTTAAATAAATTGTCGAGAGCGCCGCACAAACCACGAATTTCGTAGCCCCAGCGACAATTCTCCAGAATCTCCGCAAAAACTGAATTCTTCGTCCTGTTCTTTCGTTCGCCGGTTGTAAAGTAGAGTAAGGGACCCTTTTCCACACCTATATGCATATTGGGCATATAGGGCTATACCTTTATTGTATAGACCAATCTGTATTTGCGGTGATGTGGTCAGCAGCACCACCGACTGTAAACGTTGCACATGAGTTCTAGCTGTTCGTCCACTTCTGGACTGTGGTCTTGATTTAAAACTTTAGATTTTCGTTTACATCACTTTAAAGAGTTGTCATTTTTAGGTATGCAGACTGTTGGTTCCTCGCCTTTTAAACAAAGGCATTCCGACTTTAAAGGAAACATCCATAATAGACTATTTTTTACGACATGCTTGTTAAGGGGCGTAGTGTGGGGGAGAAGGGGTCCTGTTTCCCACGCCAATGATTAGATCGGCGGCTGTTTAAGTCGATGGGTGTCAGTCATTCATGCTGCAAACGGGAGAGGGGTAGGCAGGATTTACTCAGGGGATGGAATGGATTGGATTTGAGGAAAAATAGGGGTAAAGGGGGGGGGGGGGGGTTATAATATTTCTTTTAAAATCCTAATCTGCAAAATGTATTTCTCACCCCCACCAAATTCCAACCTATTCCTCCGTACACCCCCCCCCCCCCCACCTCAACCCCCCCCCCCCCCCCCCCCCCCCCCCCCCGCTTATAAAAAGAAAAGAAGTGGAATATTTTGTTTCTCATGTTGATTCTGGGGTCCCATTTGGAGGTGAGGGTGTGGGGGGGGGGGGGGGGCAAAAAAGACATAAGGGGACAATCCTTCGAAGTAGGAGTGCATCTGCATGAGTGGGGAGAAACCAATACTCTTCATACAAATAAACATAATACTGCCAGAATAACTAACAATGATTGCATGGAAATGGCTAATAAAAGTAGAACATTAGATACAACAATGCGAAGGGAACAAACAAAGCTCATGTGATGAGAAAGCGAGCACTGGAAAATATCGTGACGACTGGAAATATGACTGGTAGAAGAGGCATAGGCAGAGCAGGAGAAATGATAGTAGATAACTTAAGACAGTGACACCGAGGAATATCATCAGTGGAACTGATCCAGGAGAAATGGTAGTAGATAACTTAAGACAGTGACACCGAGGAATATCATCAGTGGAACTGATCCAGGAGAAATGATAGTAGATGGCTTAAGACAGTGACACCGAAGAATATCATCAGTGGAACTGATCCAGGAGAAATGGTAGTAGATGGCTTAAGACAGTGACACCGAGGAATATCATCAGTGGAACTGATCCAGGAGAAATGATAGTAGATAACTTAAGACAGTGACACCGAGGAATATCATCAGTGGAACTGATCCAGGAGAAATGGTAGTAGATGGCTTAAGATAGTGACACCGAGGAATATCATCAGTGGAACTGATCCAAAACACCAAGATCGAGGTCTGTAGAGATGCCAGCTGGAACGACACTTGATGATGATCCCCTACCGAGACCAAAATTGTGTCCCTGTTAACCAGCTTTTGTTTTTAAGGGAGTTTACTTTAACGAGATGTTATTTATATTCATTTGTTGAAGCCTTTTATGGGTTAAAATTTACCTTCTAATATTGAAGATAATTCCGAATTCATGCAGCCTAAATAATGGAATAATAGACCTATTGTTTCTGTCTCTGTCTCTGTCTTTGTCTGTCTGTCTCTTTCTCTCTCTCTCTCTCTCTCTCTCTCTCTCTCTCTCTCTCTCTCTCTCTCTCTCTCTCTCTCTCTCTCTCTCTCTCTCTCTCTCTCCTCATTTCCTTCTTTCAAGCTGTCCCTTTCATTTCCCCATTTTGAATACTTCAACAGGAATTGAAACATGGATCTGGGGAAGGGGGGGGGGGGGGAGGTGTATACATTCCTAAAGCCTAAATGCATTATTTAATAATGAAATAATTGACTCCTGCACAAATATATACAATAGACTACACAGGATCTGAATGGAATTAATTTTTTCATTGTGAACAAAAATAAAAAAAAAGCTCATATTTGTATACGGGCATTTAAAATATTCGGTAAATTTTACGCTGGTCTTCCCATTTACACACCGCTACACACTAGCTTGCTTCTGATTGGGCGACCTACAAACTACCTCACCTCTGATAGGTCGGCCCCGAGCGATCCGACTTTCACAAAAGGTCACACAAGTCTGATACCGCGTGTTGTACATTTCACCATGCCAGAGCTTTTAACACTTCTAAACATTTAGATACTGGGTCTAACCACGTCCGGCTGCATATAAATCTGGAGCTGGCCGTGGTCTAACTCACAACCCCCCCCCCCCCCCCCCCCCCCCCCCCCCCCCCCCCCCCCCCCCCCCGGAGAGTGACAAAACCTATGTCACAGGCAGTCTCTTTCTCGGAAATAAAAACCTCGACCACGGTAGACTAGTCCAAATAACTTATCAATGGAGTTGACCTGCAACCGGTGGTATATAAATGGGAAGACCATGGTATAAATAATTAAATAAATATTCATGTGTGCCATCAAACATTACAAAGACGTCTCGAACTATACACTCTTCGGCTAGTGACAAGAGTTATCTTTTCTCATTACACTGCAGATAAAATATACTTTCCCCCCTTGTCAAGCGTCGGCTGTGAAAAGTTAAGAAGAAGAAGAAGAAACAAATCAAAACGAGAAAATTGTGCATGTAGAAATATCTACATTTCGTTCCCTGTTTGTAATGAGCAGAGCAACACTGCAGATACAGTATCAGTAATGATTATTTGTTTTGTCGCTTTTATTTTTCATTTCAGTTTTTATAAATTTATAGTTGATGTGTGTATTTCTGTTTTAACATGTTGTATTTCGTTCTTATATAATGTCCTTGTGTCCAGAGTATACTACAACAAATATTGCAAAAAAGAATTTAAAACAAGAAGAAGAAAGGAAAACATAAAAAGAGAAAAAGAAAGTTAAAGGAGTAGGGGGAAGAGAGGAGAAAGAGGGAGGGGAAGGAGCAACGTTGCGAAAGTGCTAATTCAAACCCCTCACCCCCCCCCCCCCCCACCCCCCCCCCCCCCCCCCCCACCCCAAAGAAAAAAACGTAAGATAGGTTAAAAAAAAATTATTTGTCATAGCGACACCGTTCATTGTTTGCATCATTCAGTAGCCTGGTAGCTCACTACACACCGACCTAAAGTCGCATTTAATGAGTAGTTCAAGAATCGCGGACGAATAAACATAAACACTGTCATTGCTTGTCCAGTCAACTATGTAATTTGCGGTGTGATCTGTTGCCTGTGAATCATGCCGTCGTGGGTTCGATTCTGAACTGAGCCAGTTTATTTTTTGTTTATTCAGCATATGACCTTGGTTCTCAAGTCGATCCAGTTCCCCTGTGGGTTCCAGGGCCCTAATATAGGGGGGAAAAAGGACCTAATGCCTACCCAAAAGCACGTCGTGAAAGCTCACTAATTAGGAGCTTCCTTC